GGTGAGGAACGGAGCATTATAAAAACTATATTGTCAGATGCTGAACTGAAAAGTTATCCCCTCATAACTGTGGTAAGATGTGATTGCATTAGCCCCCTACCCCCATTTTCCACTTTCTCAGTGTCAGTGATATTTTTCACAAAACTTTAAGGTCCCTGATCCTTCACTGGAGACCCCGCAGTGTGACTTGCTGTGACCAGCAGAATAAGGCAGAAGCGACAGCATGCTAGTTCCAAACCTAAGCTGAAGAGGCCTTCGGTATTTCCAGTTGCCCTTTGGTGCCCTGCCGTCACCATGAAAGAACATACCGCGACTAGCCCACTGGTCCAGGGCAGCTGGGAGGTCTGCAGAACAGAGGCCCCCAGCAAAGCCCAGCCTCTATGTGCCGATCCCCTGTCCCCAGCCAATTCATAGCACTTGAGAAAAAATAATTGATTACTTTCTGAAGTCACTGAGTGTTGGGTGGTTTGTTATCTGGAATTTTTGTGGCAAGAGATAACCATTACAGAAGTTAAGCCAGAAAACAGAGAGAGGAAAACTAACCAGTTCCGTGTAGTTGCTGTATAAACATGTTTGCCGTGAGCATTTTTACCACAAGCATTTTCACTGCATAACTAATCATCTGAAACACAATTTTCCAAAAAAGATAAAATCACAAAAAAAAACCAGAAGAGGGACATTCATTAAAAACATGAAAAATGAATAACAAAATTAAAAACACTATTGCAAAATACAAAATGTTTGAGTACATTTAAAATGTGTATTGGCCATACTGTGCAAATAACTGAGTTTATTTTGTGTATTATATCTAAGCATAGTCTTCAAAGTCTTTCATTCATAGTATTATCCTTTTTTTTCTTTCTTTTGTTTGATTTGTCTTGTGGCTAAAATTTCTTCCTTCATTAAGAGAGGTATCCATTTCAAAATACTAGGATGCATACTTGTAGCTGAGATTTGTATTGCGTTTTGAAAGCCTTCTCCACTGTCACTTGTCCTTGGCATATTGTCACATGTCCACTAGCAGACATTCCAAGTTTGGTAGGAAATGTAGGTTCAAAACTCTGCGACTGTATAGACCATTATGAGGGCTGAGCTTTATAGCCTGTAAAATGGAAGTGCTGCATGAAGGAGAGATGAGGCCAAACTGTCCACCAGTTATTTTTTTAATGTTTGTTTATTTTTTGAGAGACAGAGTGCGAGCAGGGGAGGGACAGAGAGAGAGGGAGACACAGAATCTGAAACAGGCTACAGGCCCTGAGCTGTCAGCACAGAGCCCATCGCAGGGCTCAAACTCGAAAACTGCGAGATCATGACCTGAGCCGAAGTCAGATGCTTAACCTACTGAGCCACCCAGGCGCCCCCTGGTTAGATTTTTAAATCTTGTATGGCAAAATGGCCTTACAGACTGTTAGTTTTGTGGCAAAAACACTTGTGGGCCAAGATGCTCGTGGTGAAAATGCGCAACATGATATTAACCCTTCCTCACTAAGTTGAGAAGAAGTGATGAAAGAGTGACAGAACTATAACCAGCCTAACTGAATACTTCATAAAGATGATTTGCCAAGTTTTGTTTTTTTCTTTTTAAAGTTCATTTATTTTGGAGAGGGGGGAGAGAGTATGAGCAGGGCAAGGGCAGAGAGAGGGAGAGAGAGAATCCCAAACAGGCTCCATGCCCTCGTCAGTCCAATGCAGGGCTCGATCCTGCAAACCATGAGATCATGACCCGAGCTGAAATCAAGATTGGGATGCTCTGACTGAGCCACCCAGCTGCCCCAGTTTCTCAAGTTGTAACCTTGAGAAAACAAGTGTGTAGATTATGTATCTCATCAGCAAAATAGCTTATGACAAAGCAAACTGAATATCCAAAAACATGAAAAGTTAAGGGTTCTCCTGTTTGGTACAGTTCACTCATTGACTCAACAACTATTTAATGAATACCTGTCATGTATCCTCCTTGTTCTAGGCCCTGGAAATACGGTCATGGGAAAAACAGACAGGGCTCAGGTCTCATGAAGCTTATATTCTAGTGGAGACTCAGAAAATAACAAACAAAAAGATAACTTCTAATAATGGATGATAAGTGCTGTGCAGAATCTCAGGCAGGGGAATGGCCACCTCAGGTGGTTCAAGGAAGACCTCTCCAAGGATGTGATGTTGAAACTGAGACCCGAATGACATGAATAGGCCAAGAGAAAAAAAGACCACATTGCAGGAAATATCAAATGCAAAGGCCATAAGGTGCATGAATAACCTTGGAAGGTCTGAGGTGTAAATAGAGGGATGGAGAGGAGTGATGTGGTGTGAAATGAAGTGGAGGATAGTAGAAGGGGGCAGAACATATGGAACTTCACTGGCTACAGCAAGGATTTTGTGTTTTGTTACAAGTGTAATGGAATCCATGAAAGTGTATGAAGGACATGACCTGGTTTATGGGTTTTAGGGGCTCACTCCTGGTGGGTGTGTGGAGGATGGATTGTAGGGGGACAAGAGGGGAAGCAGGGGTCTTTTAGGTCACTCTTGGGTGGTACTGGTGACATTTTGCAAGTAGAATTCAAGACTGGCTGATGGATTGTGTGTGAGGGAAAGTGACAAATTAAGGATGACTCCTAGGTTTTCTGTTGGGGTAACTGAGTGTAGTTGGTGCTGTCATTTCCTGAGAGGAGGAGGAGGAATGGGCGGGGGGGGGGGTGCGGAGAAAGAGGTCAAGAGTTTTGTTGGGATGAGTTAGTTAAGTTTGAAATTGGACGTCTGAGTAACTTTGCCAAGGAGGATGTTGGACATGTTAGTTTGGTACTCAGGCTACAGATAAGAGCTGGGCAGTCATCAGCAAACAGATGTGGGATTTTAGCCATAGGAATAGATGAGTTCACCTAGAAAAAAAGTTAAAAAGTTAAAAAAGTTAAAAAGTTAAAATTTTCAATTTAAAATTTAACAAGTTTCAAAATTTTTAAATTATTTTGAAAAGAAGTGGGAGGATTAAGCCACAGAGTGTGGTGACATTTAAATGCTCAGCAGAGGAAGAGGAGACAGAAGACGAGCGTGAGAGAGAAACTGAGACAGTGTGATGTCGTGGAAGCCAAGAGAAGCAAGTGTTCCGGGAAAGATGGTTGTCAACTTAGGTTGGGTTGGGCTGAATGCAACTTGACTCATAAAGTTAACATGAAGCCAGAGAAAGAAACTATTGGATTTGGTGACCCTGAGAATAAAATATTTAGTGGGAGGACAGAGATAAAAGTCAAAATGGGACGGTTGAAAATGAATGGCAGGTGAGAAATTGATGACAGGTTCTGCTACAAAGGGGAACAGAGAAACGGAGAAGTCTTAGAGGTGGTGAGAGCTTAAGGTTTTGTTTCATTTTGTTTTAAATAGGAGATTGGGGCAAGGCGGGGGTAATGTTTAAAGGCCATGGGTAGGTAAGGCAGGAGAGAGAGAAGAGTTGAGAATGCAGGAGAGAAAGTGGACGGAGGCAGGATCATCACCCTAGAGAATGGAGGAGACCCCAGGCATGGTGGAAGCCATGGCCTCTGCAAGGCCTCTCATGGAAACGGGAGGGCAGGCAGTGAGAGTAAGAGCATGCGCACGAATTGACGGGGTTGGTGAGGGGAAGGTAAGTGATCATGTCCATTCACTCATATTTTCTCAGTGAACTGTGACTTCAGGTCATCATTTGAGGACGAGCCAGGACTTTCTGAATCCTGAGCCCTGTGTCCTTCATTTATCATTTGGTGCCCTCGGAGAGATGAAATGGCAGGGCAAGTCGTGTCTGTTCTTCCATCTGATACTGTGCCCGGAATCATTCAAGTTCCCGTCAGAGAAGCGAATTCATGTGGTTTGTTTAAATGAAAGCACTCAAACGAAGGAACTCCTCACAGAGATGAGGATGCTGTTAAGGGATGCTGCGCCCAGGCTGTCAACAACCACAAGTTACCCCCCACCCCCATCACCACCACCTAGGGCCACAAGGTCAAGGAAGATTAAAAGTGTTAGATCCAATGAGAGCTGGAGTCATGGGGGAGTGGCCAGCCAGTGTGGTCATTCATTGAAGAGGCCTATAGCTGCTATCAGGGAAGTAGCGCCAAAGCAGAGAGGGGATGAGAGAGAAATATCTTGAGTCCTCCCCCCTCCCATCTGTTGCTGATGCTTCCCTGTGGCTGAACCCAACTGGAAGCTGGCTGGCAAGGGTTATGCAATCCATGGTGAAGGACAGAGAATAGATCTGGCAGCAAATAACCAACACTTCAGGCCACAGCTGTTGAAAAGATTTTGAAAACCACTCCAAGGGGAGTATTTACACCCAATGCCATGTATAGAATGCATCTCGTTATTTGGTTCCTGCTGAGACTTGGAAAACCTAGCTAGCCATGATCTTTGAAGTGAACCATCATGGATACTTGTAACCCACCCATAAATCTCCAAATGTAATGTTTGTCCATAGTCTTCCTCCTTTATTTTCATCTAGAGGCATATTGCTCTAAAACTAGGAAAGCTTGTTCAGGGCCCCTCACTGGCGTGAATATCTTCCAAGGCCATGGGAGAGCCACAGTCGTGTATTCTTGCCATCGTGTGTTCTTGTCAATTTTACAAAAGTAGTATGTTTAACTGTAATGTGTTAAGACTGTGTTTTTTCACTCTGACCCTAGAAAGGCACCCCCCCCCCATTATATGCACTTTAGGCCCCACAAAACTTGTATCTGCTTCTGTTTCCAACAGAGACTCAAGGATACAGTGCAAATTTTATCCCTTTCCCCAAATTCTCCCATCTTTCAGGTGGGGTGGTTAAAGAACATCAAAATGAACAATTTGGGAAGGGGGGAATGCAGCAGGAGGGTAAGAAGCAGAGAAGGGAGGGTGTGCAGTGCTCAAGACAGGGGAGAAGAGCACTGTGTGGAGTACCCCCTCTCTGGCCATCCACCTTCAAGTGACGGAGGGTTGTCACGTGTCCCGCGGGGGACTCATTTCTCACGGGGGCCTCGCTCAGATGCTGCTCTTTATGCTTTCAGATGCAGATGGAAACCTGTGTCGAAGTAACCAACTGTTGCAAGTCATGCTGGCCATGCACCGAATTATCATTTCCTCTGCTGAACTGCTCCAGAAAGTTGTCACCCTATATCCTTTAGCACAGTGGCTGATGGTCCCCAAGCGGGATTCATTCAAAAGTATTTCAGATCTTGAGATTTGAAATTTGCTTTCATGTTGATTGGTTTGGAATAACCCCGAGTGGTAAATGGGTCCAAATGTCCTTTGAGACGTATGGGGTTTGTCTGTGTGTCTTGGGTGTCTGCGTTGCACATGCACACGTATGTGTCACTTCTGTTGGGTGGGGCAGTATTAGCAATGCTGACTGCTCTGACAAGTAGTCACAGCAACGGGCAAACACAGTGGTCTTCAGCGTGTCTGGCTAGTAAAAATACGTGTCCTGTAGGTTAGTAAGAATCCCTTTTCATCCTGTGCAAACTGACGGGGGGGTGCAGTCATAACTCAGATGAGAAACTGGCTTTCCTGTCCAATTCCTCACGCAGAGCTGCGTGACACCCCAGTAGCTGGAGTCTGCTGGTGCTTCTGCTTCAGGCAGAGATGGCTCTCAGCCCAGCAAACCTGGCTGGATTTTAACTGTCTTACGCGGTGCAAAGCGAGTAGGGTGAAGAAGGAGCCTGCCCTCTCCTGCTCGCGGAGCACAGTGTAAGCTGTGGCTGTAGTTGGGGTGAGACTGTTGAGCACCTGAAGCCCGGGTCCCTGGCACTGAGTCACGAGTGGTAGCTCTTCTGATCCTTTACCCCTCCCCTGACCCCCCTCCCATTTCATCTCATGGCACACCAGAAGGTAAAAAGCCACCAGAAGAGACTGAATCTCTTCTATAACCCTACTTATAAATCTTTACGTTTCAGATCAAAGGAGATGTTTCCAGCAGCATTCCAAGGGAAGAGCATCGGTATGGGTATCTGGTCTGCAGAGAATTTTTAAACCGTCATAAAGCTGACTCACAGTCTTCCGACTTTTTGTTAACTCCATGTACCAATAGTTCTAAACAGTATCAGTGATTAAAAACTCCTCAGTGAAACACTTGTTGGTCTAGGGACTCAGTTGTGCCCCTGGCTGTCCCCATGGTGGGCAGACCCTCTACCCTCCCCCTGCTCTCTCCCACCTCCCAAAGGTTTGACCCCTCACCCGTCCCTTTCCTCCACTTTCACCTCTGCCTCCTCAATGGCACCTGCCCCTCAGCCTAAAACGCATTCAAGTCTCCCCAGCCTAAAAATAAACTTCTCAGCCCTGCCTTCCCTCTGTTCCATTGTTAGGGTTAGAAATTTGATGCACAAATGTCTTAAAATAGTCTGCACTCACTATCTCCAATCTCTCAACTCCCACTCACTCCTTAACTGAGCCTGGGCCCCCACCCGTGCTCAGACTTTCCTCTGATGTCACCAGTGGCCTCCTGGTGGCTAAGGCCAGGGGCTCTTTTCTGTCCTTGCTTACTCTGGGCTTTGTGGACAATCCCCTGCTTCTCCAAACCCTCTCCTGCAGGGCTCCCAGGCGGTGCCCCCTGGCTCTTCTCCTTCCTGAGCCGCCCCTCCTCTGACTTCCCATCTGGCGCCTTCTCTGAGCACATCTTAAATAAGGGGACAGTGTCCTGGTTTACTTCTCACTCTACCTCCTTCCTGGGTAATTCCCCACCAGGCTCTCCACCTCCATCCTTTGGTGCCATGGACTTTCAAATCTATATTTCTTTAACCCAAGCCATTTTGTAAAAAATATCCGGACTAATTTGTCCTGCCAACACTTGGATCTTCATATGCTCAAGCCTTAGTTCGTTTTCTCACCAGCTTCATCTCCAACTACTGCCCATTAATTCTGCTCTGACACCTGCATTTTCAGTTTCAGTTTCAGTTTCAGTGCATGGTGTCATCGCCCATCCGATCGCCCCAACCAGAAACCTCAGAAGCACACTTGACTCCTCCCTGCCTTTCACCTCCTACAGAGTCCACTACTCAGTCCCAGGGCTTCTCCTTCAGAAAATGACTGTTAGCTCTTTTCTTCTCTCCCCCTGCCCCGCCCCCCCCGCCACTCCGGGCTTCATGTGGGCCTCCATCTTCTCTCCTAGGCCCCTCTCTGGGACTGCTGTTCTCCCCCACGTGCCAGTTCACAAGCCACCTTGGACGTTACTTTCCGGAGAAGCAACATCACATAAGCCCATTGCTCCAGAGCCCCTGTAGGCCGCACTGGTAATGCCCCACTCCTCAGCTGCCAGGACAAGGCCTCCACAGTCTGAGTCGGGGTGTCCGTTCAGCTCCACCCTGCAGCTCTCCCAGAAGCCCTTTCTTCCAGACCTGGAACTGCTCAGTACACCTGTGCCTGGGATGCCTTTGCCTCCCTCATTGCCTAGCAAGCAGACTCTTTCAGGATCCTTCTGTGAAGTCTTTCCTGACCTTTTCAGGCCTCCACACACCCCTCCCTTTTAAAGATACATCTAGTGTTTTTAAATAATGCTTTGAAAATCTAATTCCTGTCACTTTAGTTTTGTATTGCTAAAGTCAGTGTGTCTCACCTCTCTGGTCCGGATGTAACCCACCTTGAAAAGCTTTCCATCCGTGACTCCAGAAAGTGTGAGGTATTTCTATTCTGTTAGCTAAATAAATTGACCTACCAAGACTTCTGTCTGAGTTTTGCCAATGTGATACATATGTGCTCTGATCTTTTTTTTTTTTTTTTAATTTTGTTTTTCTTTTCAACTTTTTTTTTTTTATTTATTTTTGGGACAGAGAGAGACAGAGCATGAACAGGGGAGGGGCAGAGAGAGAGGGAGACACAGAATCGGAAACAGGCTCCAGGCTCCGAGCCATCAGCCCAGAGCCTGACGCGGGGCTCGAACTCGCGGACCGCGAGATCGTGACCTGGCTGAAGTCGGACGCTCAACCGACTGCGCCACCCAGGCGCCCCTGTGCTCTGATCTTTATAGATGACTGTTTCAAGTCGATTGCCGAAACTTTGCGTCTAGCTGCTGTTTGATTTGTGTTAGTAATATAGGAAGTTGCAAAGGTACTAAAAATTAATTTGATTACAAGTCAACTTAAGAAAAATATATAAATTTTTAACATATATTAAAAATATATACGCTGTAACTTATCCACTTACATGTCTCCTCTACTAATCCGTGTGTCCATCGACATCAGGAACCAAAGCTTATTTGTTTCTCTAGAACTTAGCTCAGGGACCATCTCATGATTGGACACAACAAATGTTGCCTTACCATTCATGAAAAACATTGGATACTCTTTCTATATTGGGACTTTTAGGTGAAAAACTCAAGCTTTGCTCAGGTCTGGGGTGGTAGAAGAGATTCTAAGAAGGGAATATGAAATAAGACTGCCTACCATTGAAACCCAGGTTAAACACTGGAGGCAGAATGATTTTCTCTTCATGTGTCTGTCTCTGTTTTCTGACCTGGGAGTAATAGAATTATTAGTTAAATAAGCTAAGGGTTTCCTGTTGTTTCCTGATTTTTCACTGTTAAAAAAAAAAAAAAATGGGATTTTGAAACATGCTTTGAATGGCTCAAATGCCTGAAAAGTACAGTCAGAACTGTACTGTACTTCATAGTCCTGGTACCAGCTGTGAAGAGAAGGAAAATGCGTGGAGCCTGAAGCTTCCAGCAAGCAATGACCTTAAGCCTTGCAAGGCAGACAGACCCCTGAGCCTCTTTTACTGGCCTGCATATACTGGGTGTTCCCCTTCTCCCCCAAAGGGAGAAAGCGGGTGCTCTGCCTCACTTCAGGGCTGCCTTTGCTATGGTTTAGGGGCTCTGATGAGCAGGGAGGTTCTGACCTTAGGACGGGCGCCCTGCCTGCCTGCCCCCTGCATGCGGAGCACCCGCATGCACACTGACTGGTTCACTGGGTCACACAGGTTCTGCCCCGCCCTCGGCCCTCGTCCCACAAGGATGGATGGTCAAAGGGAGGGAAGGACAGGGAGTGACTGGGAGGAAGAAAAGTCCATAGTAAAGGGCACCATGTTGATTTATAGATCTACTTGGTTGTTTTAAAGGAGAAGTATGTTTTCTCTGCCTTCCCCATTAGAAAGGAAGACAAAAATTTTGAGAAGTACATCAAGTAATAGAAGTATAGAAGCTGACACCTATTGATCTGGAATGTGCCTTGTGCTTGAATCTCTTGGCACTGAAGGCAGACATTTCCTCAGCAGTGCAGCATAAGAAACGTAAAGTCATTCTGGTTCACTCTTAACTTCTATGCCCAAAGAAAGGCAGTCATCAAAGCCTTTTATTGTATGCAGTTTGCTGGTTTCCTGGGGTTTTTATTTTTATTGTCCATGTTGTTAGCATGTGGGTTTTTGTGTTTTGTTTTTGTTTTGGTGCTTCTGAAGACAGATTTTATAGGCAGTGAATCTATTAAAATTTAGTTTTTAAATTCAAGTCATTTTATTAAAAGTACAAATTTTACAACCATAGCTCTTCTTTAGGGATTCAGGTTTAGCTTCCAAATAATCTTCTTTCTATAAGCCTAACATGTTTCACCAAGCATTTTTAGGGGACCTTGAAAAATGTTTGGTTAATTTGAATAATGGTAATTAAGTACTTCCAATGGTTTTAAACTACAATTATGAATTTTAAATTTTGGATTATTTTTAAATACTTAAGATGCCTTCCTGAATTCTAAATGGTTTTTATAATAGTACATTGGAGTTATAAACAGTTACCATTATTTTAGAAGTTCCAAAACTATGATTAAACTTAGTAAGATTTCAGTTTAAAAGCACAAGTCTAAAGCACTTAATTATATATTCCAAATCACAGTTTCAAGACTATCGTTCTAATATGCTCTAAAATATTATAGGGAGACAAAATCCCCAAATGCTCAGATTCCTTCCTAATAAAAAAAACACTAATCCTAAGATGTGGACTTTCCCTTTTCTGTATTTACCTGTAAATTTTTCAGAGGTTTAGAATACACATTCCCACTGAAGGAAGACCACTCCGTCCCGTTGAGATCTCTGCCATCTTACTCACTGGCCTCCTCACTGGACCGCTCCTACTGAATTCCCAGTAGGGCCTGGGAATCACTGAACCCTGTATTGCAGTTATGATGGCACAGTTTTTAAAAGGGAAAGAAGGCATTGCCTTGCGGGCGTGCACAGTGCACATACCAGCCTGATTCCTCAGTGTGTCGATCAAAAGTGGTAGATCCACCTAGGTTCACCATTGGATTGGATTTTGCATTTCTTTGGCTCATAAAAGAAATATTCTTTCCACGTATTTCTAAAGATATGCAAACTTAATGGGATCTTACTATTCTTTGATATTCTTAGGATGGCACCCTTCTCATGGAATATTCCGAATGCCATGGATCCTTAAACGTGATCAATGATTGTATTTTGGATTGTTCACATGGCTTTGTCTGACTTGCCATCACAACTTACAAGGTCCATCTACTGAGCCCCTTAGGCGCATATGTTACCATTTTTCACATTACTGCTTTTAATTATCATGACAATATATCTGAATATTCATTCCCCTTCTAACTTACAGCACAAATTGTTTATCCATTACTGGAATCACTTTATTTTTTTTAAATTTTTTTTTTCAACGTTTATTTATTTTTGGGACAGAGAGAGACAGAGCATGAACGGGGGAGGGGCAGAGAGAGAGGGAGACACAGAATCGGAAACAGGCTCCAGGCTCTGAGCCATCAGCCCAGAGCCCGACGCGGGGCTCGAACTCACGGACCGCGAGATCGTGACCTGGCTGAAGTCGGACGCTTAACCGACTGCGCCACCCAGGCGCCCCTGGAATCACTTTAAAAGAGAGGGGCTCCTCTTTTTAAGTTGTTTCAGTGGGAGTCCTCATCTCTTGGGCATGGGCAGGAGGCCTTTTGCCCCTTCACTTCAGAGGCCACCTGTGCTGGGACCTTTCCACGCTGTTGGCTTCCCACTTCTCCTTCTGCAAAGGACTTCTCCTCCTTTCCACAAGCCATTTCAGTGTGGGCTACATGGAAGGTCACCACTGTCACCCTTCCAAGGTGATAATATGCATACAGCTGCACACATCAAGTTGGTTTTTATCCTATGGCCAGAAAGAGAAGAAAACATCTGGGGGGGGGGGTAGTTTTAGCAAATACTTCCACAGATAAGAAGTTGTTTGGTTTCTGTAACAGAGGCTTTTATTTCCCTTAACCACAGCCCTACCTATAAGGATGCCTTGGCAAAGAATTCGCCAGGGCTTTGCCTGAAGATCTGCTATTTTGTAAGGTAATGTTTGTGGGTGCAGTTGGGACTTGTGGAGCAGGAGGAAATGAAAGACTGAAGCAAGGGGTGTTAGTTTTTTCCTCGTGCTCCCCACCTATCCTGTCCATACATCACCTCTGGGAGACTGGAAAGGGTAGTGCTGCGTGCTAGAGATCCCTTATTGGAGCAGTGTTTTTCTAGCATGGCTGAGCTTTACTATTTCATACCAGCCTTTTCTTCAGTCTGATAGCATTTTGATATCAAATGGCAGTAGGGAGAGATACAGAGATAAGGAAGGATCTCTTCTCTTTTTCATTTTTATTCCTAATTGTAAAAGTAACACAGGTCATATTAGAGCATTTTGAAAATACAGAAGAGAGGGTAACTTTAGTAATAGTTATTCATATCCCACCCCACATTTTGGGATATTTCCTCTGTCCTTTTTCTAAGCAGATTTTTTTTAATATAGCTGAGATCAAAATACATCTAGAATTTTGTGTCCTATATTTTTCACTTCATATCATAGGAATCTTCTTCCGTCATTAAAAACTTTTTGTAGACAGTATTTTTAATGGCCATATAATATTCTGAGATCTGATAGAGTGTAACTTACATGTGTACTACCCTGTCTTTGGACATTTGGTCTGTCTGTAGCTGTGCTCCTTCTAATTATCTGTGACACACATGCTGGTGCCTAAATCTTTGTCATGGCTTTTTCTGTTATGATTCGCCCCTCCTATCACAGCATGCCGGTGTGCAGGGGCAGAGGACTGCCAGCAGGTGGTTTTCTTCCCATCCCCCACCCCCTCATATTCTATATATAGAATATATATTCTGTGTTCCCAGGCATGTAGAAGGACAGGCCAGCCTCTGTGTCTTCCTCATTCCTCTTCATGGGGAAGAACCCACCAAAGCACGAGTCCTCGGCTGCAGTTTTGGATTGTTTTTTTTTTTTTTTAACTCCCACCTTTTAGGTACTGGATAACAGAATTCTGGATCATGTTTAAAATGGATGCCAGCCTGACACACACCATGGAGGAGTTCCAGGAACTGGTGAAGGCCAACGGGGAGGAGCTACACCGCCGTCTGATTGACACGACCCAGATGTGAGTGTCCGGGTTCGGGCTCGCCTTTCCAAACCACCCCCTCCTTCTGTGCCGCCTCTGACAGCTGCTCTTGGCCCACTCGGAGAAGCCCCTCACACAGGCTCAGATTGCATCTGATCAGCTGAAAAGTGAAAAGACTGGCATTTAATAGGAAAGCAGATAAAGCTATAAGTGACTAATATCCAAGAGCAGAAGGAAAAAAAAGTCCCAGTGGAAAAGAAATCAGGTAGCAAGGTACTGACTAAAATGCACCCAGGTCCTGAGAAACTGAAAGCACCTGCCTAAGCTTCCTCAGCAGCACGTGCCTCAGGTGTGGGCCCTTGTCAGTGAGGAAGGGGCAGTGCAAAAATGCATTGAGGGTTTCTAACCTGTATGGGTGTCCACGACAGACGCTTAGACTTGCAGAGATGGGAAGGCTCACGGGAATATTTCAGGTCACACCTTGGATTTCCTGTCTATGAGAATGGCCCACTCTGGAAGCAGGAGAGCCTTTCCTAAGTCAGGGAGAGGACCGTGCACACACACACTGCGTGCTAAGGTTTTCTCAGTGTGGCCACTTTGTTTTGGAATAATACACATCCCTGGAATATAGACTTCTAGGATTGAAGCATATTCTGGAGATCATTTCGTCCAACACCCCAGGAAATGGAGGCTTAGCAAGGTCATTTGGGGTCACACAGTTAGTGGCAGAGCCGAAGCAGGACTGTGACAGCCCTGGCAATGTGCTGTCCCATAGCCACACAGAAATGACTTCAGAATCACATTTCACGGCCCCAAATATTTTTCTGTATGACAGTTTGGATTCACTGTACTTCTCTGCTTAGAATTTACAACTTGAAAGATAAAGTTTCAAAGAGTGGTGCCTTGGTGGCTCAGTCGGTTAAGTGTCAGACTTCGGCTCAGGTCATGATCTCACAGTTCCTGGGTTCGAGCCCCACGTCGGGCTCTGTGCTGTCAGTGCAGAGACTGCTTCAGACCCTCTGTCTCCCTCTCTGCCCCTGCCCCACTCACACACTCTCTCTCTCAAAAATAAATAAATTTTTAAAAAACTTAAAAACAAATTTTTTTAATATAAAATTTCAAAGTAACAATGCTCTCTTTTTAAAGTTATAGAACCTGGGGCATAGGGCAGTTCTCACACCCCAGTGTCTTCTCCCAGTATGTACCTAGCTGGCTTTTTTCTACCAGGATTTCCCACAGTAAGTTCTTTGGGAAGTAGTCAGTAGGATAGTGCCTGACCAGATCTGCTTGAGAGGTAGTGAGTGAAGCTTCCCTTTTGCAGCACATCTTACCCTGTAACGTGTTCATTAACCAACGGGGCTACAGAATCTGTAGCATTTCCCAGACTCATTTGAGCACAGAACCCTTTGTCAAGAGACAAGGTGCTCCTGAATACCAGTGTGGGAAACACAGATCTTTACCCTGCTGCCTCTCAAAATATGCTGCTTCCTTCTGCTAACATAGTGAGGGAAATTGAAACACACTGATCGATTATAAGAAATTATAAGAATTATAAGAAAATGTGGGGATTGGAGGGGCACTCTAGGGTTAGATAGGCTTCCTTGGTCATTTCAGTGTCTGGGAATATCTGAGGGAAATGCCACAAGTCTGCTCAGAGTGACCACACATTCATGCACGATTCCCTGAAGCACAGCTTCTCATCTCTGTGGTTCTCTGTGCTCTCCTGGCACCAAAGCTGAGATCTCCAACCCAAAGAGAGAGTCCCCGTCACCCTCCGGAGAACGAAGGGACACACGGAGGGCATGGAGACCGCAGACATGCCAGGGGACAAAGGAAAGCAAGGATGAAAGGCCAGGAAACTGTGACCAATGCCCGAGACTGTCTTTCCCACAGCCTTAAAGTAGACACATTCTACCCAGTTCCCCTTGACATGCTCAGAAGGTTTGTTGAAAACAAGCAAGGCTTTCCTTGTTGGTGCCCTAGAAAAAAAAGTTGATTTGAGGAAAGTGTTAATGCTTTGTTTTGGTCGAAGACAGTTAGCTAATGGTGCTTTGTATATTCTTGTAGATTTACTCGAATTAAAAAATAATTCTGACTTATTCTTTTTCCCCATCTTCTCCCATTCATGTTTGTCCACAAAAGCAATGCCCGTGACTGGTCCAGGAAACTGACTCAAAGGATAAAATCGAACACCAGCAAGAAGCGTAAAGTCTCCCTGCTCTTTGACCACCTGGAACCAGAAGAGTTATCCGAGCACCTCACGTACCTTGAGTTCAAGTCCTTCCGGAGGATATCCGTATGTACCCAAGGGGCGGGAGGAAAACTTCCCTGTGCTATTTCAGAAAATAAGCAGAGCAATTCAACAGCTCATCTGCCATCTAACCCTGGAGTCCCTCCATCTCCCCCAAAGCTCAGGCTTTCCCATCAGACTTTGTAGAGTCTGGAAAATGAGTACACTAGAAATTTCTTTGTTTCTCCGCTGTGTTCCTCACCTCCTGTCATCCATGCCATCCCACCACTCACTCAGGTGACAGTTCTGTGGGCACAGGTGACACCCTGCATGCATACATAGACAAGTATACACATGCACACGCGCACGCACACACACACACACACACACACACACCTTACCCTTGATAACCATTAGGCTTCCAGATTTTTATTTTTAAATTTTCCTTCAAAAAAAAAATGAGGATATGTCCTTACAGAGTTTGATTCTAGGATAGGCTTTGAATAGCTCTGGGAAATCCTGAAATAAAGTATACACTAATTTTCTAGCCCAGAATATAGCCGAGTTCTTGACAGAGTGCTGACAGGGCCCAGCAGTCACCCATGATTCTAGAGATAAACCATGCTGACCCAAACCTTGCTCCTTAAAACTCCCTATGTGATACCAAAGAACGCTGGTTCTGTACAAGAGAACTTGTCGGCATGTCAGATGCCAACAGACCCTCGCTGGCCAATATGTTTTCCTGAGAAATGATACCTGTCGTCCACTCTGTGTCCACCCCTGCCAAAAGACAGTCTTCAACTTTGCTCTAAAAATACAGACTACCTAGTTGCCGGATGAGTTTCTTAGAATGACCTGTGTTCCCCAGATGAGGGGACGGGCTGCTCAGAAAGTGGCCTAAACAAGGTCACTCGGCCTGTTAGTCAGACCAGGGCTGGGGCCACATGACTCTTTGTCACTCAGCGCCAACTTATTGAGCCAGCTTGTGTCTGCAAGGAGAACTACAAACCAGGTTAGAGTTACTTCATCTTTTCTCCCATGCTGCCGACACCGTCCCGTTTACGCACAGCCGAGCGGCCATTCAGCCAGCCCCCCAACTCCCATGTGGAGACAAGCCTCCAAGCACTGATTCACTGGCAAACCAACCCCCGCCCCCCACCCTGACAGAACCACAGGCCCTGACTGGGAAGCTCCTCCCGGGGAGTTTCCATTTGGCAGTGCCTCCCGTGTCACAGGGAGGGACACTGAAAAGAGCCATTTATCACATGGGGAATCTGAGCTGTGCCAGGCCCCAGCTGGCGAGGTGGTTCCAGCAGGCCTCCGGGATGTCTGCATGACGCCAGTGCTCAGACCGGCAGAGGCGGAAGAAACTGCTGTTGAACTAGGACTCTGAGCTAGTGCTCTGCCCGAGTTGAGACCACGTTCTATATGCAAATGACAACATCAGTTTAAATTTTTATTTCTTTGGGGTAGCATGATGCCTTCACAGAAGAGGACTTGGGGGATTTTGTTTCACCTACACAGTTCTAAGCAGTTTTCCCAAACAGTAGTGTCCCTCTCATTTGCTATTTCCTGCTTATTATAGTACTTATGACAGTACTAATTATATTAAAAAAACAAGTGGATTCAGTGTTATAGAGAGAAGGGTATATGAATGTATTCACTGGAATGAGTCATGGGAACTTTCTCTCAGAACCAGTTAAGATTGCTTATATGTCCCTCTTTTTTTTTTTCATGATTGATTGATTGATTTAGAAAGGGGGAGGGGGAGCCCCTAGTGGGAAGGGCAGAGAGAGAGAGAGAGAGAGAGAGAGAGAGAATCCTACGTAGGCCCCACAGCTCTCAGCGCAGAGCACTGCGCGGGACTCAAACTCACAAACCCTGATATCATGACCTGAGCCAAAACCGCGAGTCAGACGCTTAACTGACTGAGCCACCTGGGTGCCCCAACTTATGTGTCCATCTTGAGTACTTTCGGTCTGCTCTTATTTTTCCACCCATCAGCAATCACAGCACAGCAAAATGGGGCTCAGCTAATTTGCATGTATTTGATTTAGGTTATGAGTTTTTCTCATCAGTGTATTGTTTACAAGTCAGGCAGGACTACGGTTCGTCTACTGAAGTAACAACCCCCCCACCCCCACCCCGCCCAATCTCGGTGGTTTAACAAAGGCAAGTTTATTTTTTACTGACAGTAGAAGGCTAACGTGGGTCAGCAGGGCCTCTGCGGATCCCAGTCACTCAGGGACCCAGAAGTAGGAGGCTTCATCTTGACACGAACTTCTGCCATCTCTGTGCCATTGGAAAGGCAACGTGGCACATCGTTCACTGGCTCTTAGATCTTTCCCTCAAAAGCCCCATCACTTGCACCCAGTGTTCTCCTGGCTAAACCGTGTCACATCTGATTTCAAAGGGGAGTTCAGAAGCAGAGAGCTCAACATCCCTGGGAAACCGCACCAAAAGCTTCCACAGGCCTGCTAGAACAGAGTAGACAACTCGTCCCTTGTGGTCATACTATCTGAACAGAGGATGGTTTGTGATAGGGACAAGATAGCTGCAGTCATTGCTTAGACAGCGATCTCCTGACACATTTCCCGTTTCATATAAGCTGTTCACTGTCAGCCATAGTCAGTACCTTTGTCCACTTGGAAAACTGTGGTCACTATGTTGTAATAGCTAAGCAGGTTTCATGTACCCCACTCACGTGGCCTCTGCCCAAGCTGGTGAGTTGAAGGAAATCCAAACAGGTTTGTTTCAGCATAAGGTTAATAATTACCCGGTCAGTAGCACCTCACGTGTGCAGCGCTCTGAAAAGGTAAAGTGCTTTCACACATTGTTGTGTTACATTAACAATTCCGTGACCTGGATAGGCCAGATTTTATTCTCCCATCTTTTTAAGACGGTTGTTTATTTTTGAGAGGGAATGAGAGCGTGAGCAGGGGAGGGGCAGAGAGAGAGGAAGAGGATCCGAAGCAGGCTCTGTGCTGACAGCAGAGAGCGTAATGCAGGGCTCAAACTCACAAACTGTGAGTCAGACGCTCACTGAGCCACTCACTGAGCAACTGAGCCAAAGTCAGACGCTCAACCAACTGAGCCACTAGGCACCCGTGTTATCCCATTTTTAAGTTAAGAAACAGTTGGGGGTGCAGGGGAGAGAGAGAGAAAAAGATTTTTGTGAGAGGATTATCTGCTCGTCCCCTTAATTTCAGCAACAGAGCTGGAACTAGTACAGATCTTACTCAAGTTGAAAATACCATTACCTCGAAATGCATGTAATACATCTAAGCTGTCAGCATCATAGCTCGGCCTAGCCTACCTTAAACGTACTTGGAGCACCTTACATTAGCCTACACTTGGGCAAAATCTGATGCAAAGCCTATTTGTAATAAAATGTTGAATATCTGCTATAGTTTATTGAATACTGAAAGTAGAAAACACTGGTTATGAGTACAGATGGTTGTAAGCAGATCAGTTGTTTACCCTCCTGATCACATGGCTGCCTGGGAGCTGCAGCTCGCTGCCCAGCATCACAAGTTTTGTACTGCATATGGCTAGTCTGGGAAAAGGTCCAGATTCAAAATTCAAAGTATGGTTTCTTGCGAATGCATATGGCTTTTGCAACATTGTACAATAAAAAAAAAAATCCTAAATCAAACCATTCTAGGCAGGGACTGTCTATACTGAGATTTCTGTTCTATATTCTTTAGAATTTAGAAGGGACACAATCAGTAGCTACTCAAATACAGTATTTGGGTTAACTAGTGTGTGTACACATCCACTAATGCCTGATGACTTTTGATGGAGAGAGGCCATGCTGTGGGTAGAGTAAGAAAGATTTCCTTCCCACCATTCTCATCAGCCAAGTGGAAGACATGCAAGGAGAAGACGAGAGTTCCCCTGTCCTATAGAATCAACTGAGCAGAGGTGATGTGCCCCTTGGATCTCCCAGAATACCAGAGGCAGTCCTGATGGATTTCTTTTTCCCCAGTTCTCCGATTATCAGAATTACCTTGTGAACAGCTGCGTGAAGGAGAACCCCACCATGGAGCGGTCCATTGCCCTGTGTAACGGCATCTCCCAGTGGGTACAGCTGATGGTTCTCAGCCGCCCCACCCCGCAGCTCCGGGCAGAAGTCTTCATCAAGTTCATCCAGGTGGCTCAGGTGAGTGACTAGAGTTAAGAATTTTGGCCTGGGCAATGAGCTAAAGTATCCCCTCTTTCCTCCAACCTAGTCTCTCAATTAGGGCTGCTTTCCTCTCCTAAAGCATGGTGGAGTTTATGTGCCTTGAACTGTTCCCAGATTTAGATATGATGATTTGTCTCTTTCCCATATAAGGGCAGTATGGTGAGGACCATACATACTATCTCAGGGATCGGGATACAGTTTTAGATCTGTTTAGATCTTCAGAAGATGCTTACCAGCCTACATCGTTGCCCCCAATCTGGCCCACACAGCAAAGGGAAATTTTCCAGGATTTCCTGGAGCTGGACCACCTCAGTTTTTAGGTCTTTGAGCCCATATCGTGTCGAATGGCTGCGTTTAATGTCTGAGGGCAGAGTTTAAGCATTTGATAAGAGGAAAACAAGGTAGTACGAACACATAATTGAAATTCCCGAGATTCTACCTCCTTTCCCAGTTACTGTCTTGCATAGACACTGACATTGCACAGAAAAGACAGTCTTTGTCCTTAAAAATACAAGTCTGGTTATTTAGGATCAAGGATATAAAATATTAGCTCTAGGTGGTCCAGACCAGTGCTTCTCAAAGTCAGTACATGGCCCACCTACTCTGATACTACCTAAATGTTTATCCCTAAGGTCAGCCGTAGATCTCAGGAATCCAAATAGCCGTGCTTAGATCCAGAAATCTTTGGGTTAAACAAGTACTTTGGGCGGTTCTTAGAAACCACTGATGTAGAGGATGGTCCGCAGATCCAGTGCAACAAAGGAAGATGTGACACCATGCTAAATTTGGGACCTTTGGTCTGAAATTAAGCCTAAGGGAGAAAGTGGTCCGACAACTGCAACACCTCATTGCTAGGCTTTGGTATTAGGAAGACTCGAATTGAGAGGCATGTAACTGACATGTATATTGACTACTCTCATCTCTTTTGTGTCACAGAAGCTCCACCAGCTACAGAATTTCAATACATTGATGGCTGTGATAGGTGGGCTGTGTCACAGCTCAATCTCCAGGCTCAAGGAGACAAGTTCGCACGTCCCACATGAAATCAATAAGGTCAGTGCTACTGGCTTCTCCGGGGCCCCTTAGTACCATTCCCAGGACGAGCATCAACATTTCCCCCTTAAGAGGCAACCCAGAGGGCCTTTCCGGGGCACATCACCCTTTGTCAATTAGGCAAACTGCCAAGGAGGCAAACCCCAAGAAAACCCATAGGATGGGAACGACCCAGGTCTGAGAGTCACTGTGATTCAGTCTGGGCTCAGCGTTACTACACGTTCCAACTGATCAGTTGAAAGAATGTGTGTCTCTCTCCTGCGCTCCTATGAATATTCGGAGTCACCGTCTTTAATACTGACTCTCTTCCTCCAGCAACTTGTTCCAAAATGTTTTCCTAAATAGTGCTTCAGTTGACTGTAGTTCAGTTCGCACGTGAGACGTGTACAGCGAGCAACACATTAGAAACCTACCTATTCAAATCCTATGGAGAATGACATTCTGGATAGTTGAAAATGACCTTTTCAGGCGCCACTTTGTAATAGATAGTGTTTTGTTGAGGAGTATTTTTCTTAAATGTCCTATACACTTTTCTACATTCTTTAGATGTTACAGAATAGACTTTAGCTCTTTATAGCATAGGGCTGTTGTGATGAATACAAACCACGAAGACGCACTGGAGAGAAGAATGCAGCTCTGGTGTGGACCAGATTAACTGCTCTTTTGAGCATTTCCATCTTGTGGGAGAGGACCCCCTTACTAACCTCAACCCCAGGCCTCCCAAACTGCATGGACGGACTCTTCTTAGAGAGACATGCCTGTGTCTCATTGCCCCGTTTTTCCCGGGTGTTCAGCCTCCTTCTGGGGAGTCTCAGATTCATCATCCCTGCTCTCACCCCACCCCCACCTCCCAATTCCCTACTAGTTCTGCCAGAACGCGGTGGAACCACTGAAAAGGTTCTTCATGTCTCAGAAGTCACAGAGGGAGACAGTCATGGAGATTAATATGCTCTTGTGCTGTTTCACTTACAAGATACACCTTGCTCCTCTTAGCCTTGGGTCCCTCCACAGCAGGGCTTTCTTGTCTGTAGCTGCTTGACCCTCAGGGTGGTCTGCGGCCAGACTTAAATCAAGTATCCCCTCATCCCCTAGTAGTTTATTTCACCTTCTAAGGAGAATAAAACTATCTCATTTTTGCTGCTAGTCTCTCACCATGTGAGCACTGTTGGCTCAGAGGTGAATAAGAGGCTGTCTTGCCAGCTCATTGTGAATGGGGGAGGCTAACTTCAAACCTCAAATTCTTCACTGAGGAGAAATGGTACTTCTTAGGCCACAATTTTATTAAAGGAATTTCCAGCAGTGTTTAAAATATTTTGTGCTGTAACATAATTAGTGGTCTTTACTTCCCATCTTTGCCTGTGAGGAAGCCGGCCATCATGCATGGGGATTGGGGTTCTGCAGACTGCCACCTTGAACCAGGCATATTTGACAAGAATACCAGAGGTGGCTGCTCCCTTTTTATGCTGTACAGACCTGCCCTTTCCTGGGCCGGAAGCCCTAATGAAGAGCTCCCTGGGGCCTCGGCCTCACCTTGTCACATGCCTTCTGCTGGAAATTGGTCTATTGGTTCAGTCTCTGGTTCAGGATTTCAGTCTGTGAGTGGAACATCACCTGCTTCCTTGACGTAGGCCTGTTCTGAGAACCGCTGAGAGAAGGCCCACAGAGGGCAGCGTAAGTCAGACAAACGCTCAATAGACCACTGAGGCTCCCAGCTGTTCCCCATGCCTGCGACGGTCAGCACTTCCGACATCACATTCCACACGTGTCTCTGGAAGCATTCAGAGGATACTAGGGAGGGGAACTGCATGGCGTGGGGACAGAGGTCAGGGGGACACTTACTCTCTGCTGTATATTCTTGGACCGTTTTCATTTTTATCTCAGGTTTTTATTTTTATGTTTAAATTTCAGTATAAAAATAAGACCTCACTTAAAATTTCCCAGTAGATAGTACAATCAAGTAAAGCATACTTTGTGTGTGTAAATACACTCTGACATTTGAAATCAGCTAGACTTTTTTAAATCTGGGAGTCACAGTCTGTAGCTTTTAGCGCATCACCTCCCGCCTGACAAATTAGGGATGGGGTGAAATAGTGGGAGAGGCTGAGAGGAAACAAGGTGGCCTCTGCGGACAGTACACCTGGCCTGGTGGGCACCTGTGAATGGGTCTCTTCTGTTTTGTAGGTTCTGGGGGAGATGACCGAGCTCCTGTCCTCCTGTAGAAACTATGACAACTACCGGCGAGCCTACGGGGAGTGCACCCAATTCAAGATTCCCATCCTGGGGGTGCACCTCAAGGACCTCATCTCCCTGTACGAGGCCATGCCCGATTACCTGGAGGATGGGAAGGTGAACGTCCACAAGCTGCTGGCTCTTTATAATCATATCAACGAACTGGTCCAGCTGCAAGAGGTGGCCCCACCCCTGGAAGCCAACAAGGACTTGGTGCACCTGCTGACGGTGAGGCTCACACGGGAGGCAATTACTGAGGGCTGTCTGTATGCCACACACCACTCTCTGCGCCTTACCAAGTATTAGCTCAGTTCATTTTCATGAAACACAATGGAGTAGGTACTACCATCATCTCCATTGTTTGGACATGGATACTGAGGCATAAGGATATGACGTGTCAGAGGACCACACGTGAGTAAGCAGCAGAACCTGGGTTCACACCCAGGTGGTAGGACTCCAGAGGTTATGCTCCTGAGCAGTATGCCCTCCAGAATCCTAGAATTGTTTCTTGCCCCCAGCTACAAAAGCAATCCTCAACTTTCTGGGAGGAAGGAAGCTGATAACAAATTAGGATACAAAACTTTGTAAGAGTTAGGGATAGTGTATTCTCAGTTACAAAAGGGTAAGGCAGTGAGTAAAAAAAGCAAACAAAATGGAGGCATTCGAGTCAAGAAGAGGTGAACACATGTGGTGGTGCAGGAGCCTACCTGCATGGTCAGATAAACTCCCTTCCAGAAGCATGATTCTGTAGCTCACCACTGTGACTGTGGGCATGTAACTCTAAATCTGTTTCCTCCTCTGTAAATCAGAGATTACTCTCTGGGATAACTTATAACTTCTCAGTTCTAAAATTATACAACTTTTTATCTGTATTTTTGTAGAATGGAGTAACTGTTACAGCCTCTTCCTCCCTCACATCATGATTCTGATAGAGCCCCAGGATTCACAGCCAGCTGGGGTCTAATGTTAGCCCTTTTGCTAACTGGCCAGATGACTGTGGCAGGCCTTGGCCTTAGCCATTGTCTGTTAAAAAGATGTACCAAATCTTAACTTTCTTGGATCACAAATCATGTGATGAAAACCATGAACCTCCCAGAAAAATAGACACGAGTTCTGGACCTCTTGAAGCCATCCGTAGACTCTAGGTTACAAACAAGATTATATGAAATTAACTCTTAGTATCATTTTATAATACCTGTTGTCATTTAAACTGGGTTGTTGTAGAGAACAAGTGAGGTGTGGACCATCTGACCACATAGGGCCTTCTGCCTAAGCTCTAGATACAGGCTTAGATATTAAATCAGATCTTAAAAGAGGACATCTTGAAACTTCTCCAAAATTTAAAACATTTAATAAGAAGGAGCTAATGTTTGCCTTATTGCAGTACCAAGTGTTACGCCCTCTAAGCTTTGTGAATCTTAAAAACAAAGAGCCTAGAAGAGTAAATAAACAACAGGAGAGGAGGAGGTACCAAGAAAGAAACCCATCAACCCTGGGAAAGGCAAACAACATCCTAGCAGTTAACCCTGTTCTGTTTTGATCTGCAGTTGTCCTTAGATCTCTACTACACTGAAGATGAAATCTATGAGCTGTCCTATGCCCGGGAACCAAGGAACCACAAAGCCCCAGTGAGTTGTTCATATTTTTGTGCTAAGATTGCTGCATGTAACAGGTGCTTTACAAGTTGCTCGAGCTCATCATCTTAAGGAACAAATCTTTATGTGATAAGTACTGTTTCCACTCTGCCCAACCTTGTGCTAGGCACAGAGAAAACTTCACCATATGTACAAGTAATTCTTGGCCAGAAAGAGCCTGCAGTCTACTTGAAGGGATGAGACTAATACAGGAACTGTAAATATATGCCCTAAGCACATCCAAATGACAGGTGCAGTCAGTGGTTTACTGAGGAGGGAGATGGTGTTGCGGGCCATAGTGACATCTCCTTCCTATTATAAAGTATCCTCACATCATTCGTTTCTCTTCTCTGATTTTTTGATGATAAGTGTATACTACTTAGTAAAGCCATAGAGATCATCCTGTATTCATCTGGGTCAGAAAGGACAGTCTCCTGGGTCTTTTGACCTCTTGTGCTGACAAGTCCTCACAACAGTGCAGTCCTGGTGCTGCAAGGAAGGATCTACACAGGTTGTCTCGCCCCACCTCCCGTACAGGCAGGTGAAAATTTCAGTTTTCCTTGTGAAGGACCAGAATTCCCCTGCAGTCTCCGGGGAAGCTGCCCAGTCCCCAGATAGTACTCAGGGGAGAGAGTTATCCACACATAAGAAATTCAATTTGTCTGTTCAGGTGGCTACATGATACTGTCTCTACAACCGAAAGATCAAGTTCTAGCTCCTACTCTAATGAAAGCTGTTCACTGAAAATTCTTAGCAGGTTCCACTTTCAGGGTGTTAGAGGCATTTCCGTGGAAAGGGTACCTTCCTCCATTTGGGTCAAGTCTCAAATATTTAGGAATGGATTCCATCTCCCCTTGTCCAGGCCTCAGGCTTTCTTCCTTGTGTTATCCTGCCGTTTAGCTGTTTTTCTCCTCATCCACATCTTTATTAACCAGTAAGTAGAGAACAGAGAGGAAATTTAAATGATCCAGTCTTTTGCTGACAGTTTGACAGAAAGTCTAATGGGTAAGTTTAAATTATCTGTAGATGGGAGATAATACACGTGAGAAGCATTTTGTCAGCTATGAAGCACAACAGTTGTTATTAGCCAGGATTAGAGCTCAAGATTTCAGTTCCACCGGCTCTCAGTTCCTGGCCCTGGCACATAGTTGAGGGCTGTCCATAGATGCAGCCGTGAGGTAGTGGGAAAGGAAGTTGCTGCTGGTTGTAGTGCTTTATAGTCACAGGGATTTCTCTGAATATTTCATTTCAGCCACTAACACCTTCAAAGCCCCCAGTAGTAGTGGACTGGGCTTCTGGAGTATCTCCCAAACCTGACCCAAAGACCATAAGCAAACACGTCCAGAGGATGGTGGATGTAAGTACAGCTGTGCTCCAGCAGACAGAAGCAAGGCACATACAAACTGGCATAGTTCTGTATGCGGCCTGGGGGACACGGTGGCAGACGCGCAAAGGTGGGAAACCTGACACTTGTTCCTAGCGCACACCTCATATTGTGCCTGCAGGACAGTTCATTGGTTACGTTTTGCCAACACGCTTTGACCTCCTGTTGCGGGGGGGTGTGTCTCCTCTTAGAGACCAAGCAGGAGAGCATAGCAGTGGATTTGGGGGCAGAGAGGTGGTAGAAGGGTTTTAGTAGAAATAAGGATAATAAGGAGAATCTAATACTGCAAATTTGGCCTTCCTGATTCTCTTCACGGTTAACTGCTGAGGAGAGTGTGTGTCTATATTCATCCTTATGGACCAATCCAGCATAACAGAAAAGTGAGAGCCAGTACGTGTCAGAATAATTAGTAGAGGACTACAGGGCAGGGAGCACTTGCAGCTGGGCTGTTCACAGAAGCAGTGGAAGGGGGGCAGAGCAGAGGGGACACCCCTGTGCAGTGAGCTAGGAGCAAGCAGGCACCGGGCAGACGGCACGATTGGTACACTAATGGACCTGAGGGAACCGTGTCCTCTCATTCAGGCTGAGGAGAGGCTTTTATCAGATGCTCAACCCTTTGTCATTTGGCTAAAGGGAGAAACGATCGGTTTTGCTTTGGTAACCACCAGAGAAACTCCTCTTTTCACAGTCGGTCTTCAAGAACTATGATCATGACCAGGATGGATACATTTCTCAGGAAGAGTTTGAGAAGATTGCCGCCAGTTTCCCCTTTTCCTTCTGTGTGATGGACAAAGACAGGTGAGGGTCTGTGTATGGAATATGAGGCTCTTGGTGCTAAGGGAGCAATCATCACATGAATGCCTGTCTGGTTTTGGTTCAGATCACAACAGACAATAAAAAACACATCTGTGTTAAATGTCTCAGAACTGAAAATTTCATAAACCTGCCAGTTTAGTCAACAAGAAATAAGAAAAACTTTAGTCTTCCTTCTGGCTACAGATTATGAGAAACAACTATTTATTAATACCTTGCCTATTTTTCTGAAGTTGATAGAAGCTCTCTTGGTTTTCTGTGTGAAATCAAAGGTATGGCACGTGGGTTCCAGTTATATGTCATGTACTGTCTAAAGGCAAACCGCAGCATAAGGTATTTCTCTCCCTATACACAGTTTCCATTTCTTTTTTCAAGTCTTAAAATTTGCTAGGAAAACCTGCTTTGGCCAGATAACACCTCTGTAGAAGTGGATACTACCACATCACCTCTTTATTACATGCTGTCCATGTATCGCTATTTAAGAGGGCTCATGGAAGTAATCCTCAGTCCTATGTGCTGTACTGCCACGCAAGGATAGAAACAAAAGTGAGGGGTGCCTGGCTGGCTCAGTCGGTGGAGCATGTGCAGCTCCTGACCTTGAGGTAGTGAGTTCGCGCTCCACGTGTGGTATAGAGATTGTTCAAATAAATCAACTTAAAAAAAAAAAATTAAAAACAAAAAGCAAAACAAAAAAGGTGAGTTTCTAAGGCTAGAAGCCAGTCTCTCTACCTCAGACCCTACTCACACCTGGTCTGTCGCTCGCTGGCAGGGAAGGCCTCATCAGCAGAGAGGAGATAACGGCCTACTTCATGAGAGCCAGCTCCATCTACTCCAAGCTGGGCCTGGGCTTTCCTCACAACTTCCAAGAGACCACCTACCTGAAACCTACTTTCTGTGACAACTGTGCTGGATTTGTAAGTTGTTCCTAGAGTCCCTTATCAACTATGCCAGCTTAGAGCCTAAGCTCTAATAACCTTGTTCTCAAATGGTTTGATGCATGGTTAACTTGAATTGAATGTTACCATTTCTTCCGGATATTGTTTTTACCTCTGGTGCATGAGGCTTGGGACAAATGGTAAGGAAATGTTATATTTGGGACATACTTTTTAAGTAATTATATTCAGATGCTATTTCCAATGTTAGGAAAAAAAAAAAAAATAGGAGACATCCCTGCTCTTCCCCCTTCAAAAGGAACTGCTGTTAAGAAGCCATGTAGCTCTGCCCCTCCTCTGTCCCAGCCCTGTCCAACCTAATCCCTGACCACAGAATTCTGTATACTTGTTCTTTAGTTTGGAGTTCTGAGAAACCTGTTTATTCTTTGATTCATCTACTTCAAGCCTCAAGAAGGCCTAGACCATAGAGGTGCCTGGGTAGCTCAGGCTGTTAAGCGTTCGACTTCGGCTCAGGTCATGATCTCACAGTTTGTGAGTTTGAGCCCCTCATAGGGCTCGGTGCTGACAGCTCAGAGCCTGCTTTGGATTCTGTGTTTCCCTCTCTCTGCTCTTCCCCCACTCATGCTCAGTCTCTCTTTCCTTCAGAAATAAACATTTAAAAAAATTTTTTAAAAAGGCAGCCTAGGCCATAAGTCCACACTACTGAGTTTCTTGAGAGCATGAGACTGTGATCACAAAATCTTCGTGTTTGCAGTTTAAGGTCAGGAGATAAACAAGGCTTTCCTTCCTTGAGGAAGAGAGCACAATGAGGGAAAATAAAGAATGGGTATCAATGTCTCTCGCCTAATACCAGATTGATGAAGGATGTACAGTGTGCTCTAACTGTCTCCTATCTTGTCTCATAGCTCTGGGGAGTGATCAAACAAGGATACCGATGTAAAGGTAAGGCTCAGTTTTGTGGATTGTCTTGCTTTTTCTGGTCTTTGACGCTCTCCTAATAAAGCATTTTTTACCGATAGTAGTTGTCCATTGAATCCCCAACTTCTCAGTGCAGCTTACAGCCTCATCCCCAAACTGGCTTCCCTAGAGCACCCAGTGAGAGTGACTGCCACCACAGAGAAGAGGAATGCCTGGGTGACCGGTTATAAAGCTTCCCCTTACAAGGTCCTCTCTCTGTATGGGTTGTTCTGGAAACAGAGATCACGGGTAGGAGAGGCTTTCATATGGCCATGAAAAAGGTGGGTCCCTAAGGAAAGGCACTTTGGGAATGGAAGTGATTACCAAAGGGCCTTGCCAGTTTTCCTTTTATCAGTAGGTACCTCAGGGCCTAATTGTCCTTCCTTATGACTAGAAAAATTCAGGAGTGGACAGGAGACTTTTACTGCAAGAAAGAAAGAGTAAGACCTAAGAGCTGGGAGCCTTTAGGGGGTCTCCTTAAGGTAGGCAGTATATGCAGGATGACTAGGACATGACTTGTCTCCAAGACAGTGGATGCTGCTTGAGACTCATGATAAGGGCTACAGCAAGATGGTAAGATCCAGAGTTGACCAAATACGACTACTAGGTTCATTAGGAATAGCAGGTGTCCTAGCTCCAGACTAGGACAGGCATGTGTGACAAGACAGCCTGCATGAGTGTGGTTTTGAGACTCTGGAAAAGAAAGCCAAAGCCTTGCTGACTAGGCTGTCTTGTCCACAGACTGCGGGATGAACTGCCACAAACAATGCAAAGATCTGGTTGTGTTTGAGTGCAAGAAGCGAGCCAAGAACCCAGCAGCAATAACCGAGAACAGTACCCCTGGAGGGCCAACATCCAGCCTTTGCTCACTGGGAGCCAAAGACCTGCTCCATGGTAAGGAGACACTGAGAACATTCCTCTGGAAAGTGAAGTGGGAAGGGTAAAGTTTTCGGGGAGGAAAGATGACCTTTGTCCTTCCCATTCTTAATAGAAACCACCACAGACACCATTGTGGAAGACACATTTTCAGAGTTAAACATCATCTTTAGGGACCACAATTCTGTCACATAAAATACAAATTTTGATGGGAGAAAGGTGGCAGAGAGCAACATGAAGGTCTGGGGCCTATTAAAAGATGGAGATACAAAATATCATCATCCAAAATGCTCCTCCAAAAAATACAGGGTTGTTACTTTAGGATAAATACAGTAATTTAAATATTCTGATACTTCTGTTAATTACAGTTTTAAACTTTATTTGGGTAAAAATTTAGTGCTAAATTATGTCCTCTGGGGGAAAGTTAAACTAGGATCCCTATAAAGTTTCTAGTATTAGAAATTTTTTTGTTGTCCAGAAGCCACGTTGGATTTGTACACTATCCAGGCTGGGTCCTGGGCAAGGGTGTTGGGTGGAAGAAGAAAACCAGAATGATTCCTCTCTCCTTTCCAACCAGTATCAAACAAAGCTAGAACTTCCCTATGTTATTCCCACTATACAAATGGGTCCCAAAGAAAACTCCTACCTGCTCCTATAATAGGACCAAACCTTGAATGCTGAGAGCTCCCAAATCCCAGGGTCCACAGAAAATATTTATGGACTGGGACCCCTGGGTAGCTGTCGGTTAAGCATCGGACTCTTTATTTCAGCTCAGGTCATGAACTCACGGTTGGTGAGTTCGAGCCCCACATCACCTGGGCTATAAGAGTGGATCCTCCTCAGGATTGTCTCTCCTCTCTGCCCCTTCCCCCTCATTCACATATGCTCTGAAATAAAAAGAATTTTTTTTTTGAAATGTTTACTTAATATTCATAGACCGTTTCTCTTGCGCTGAGGCAGGGACTTGAGCTTACCTGCAGAAACAAATCTTCTGGGCAGCCTTTGTGCAAATAGAAAAATGCCTGTTTCTCTGGGTAGACGCAGCCTGGCACCAGTGGCTCTGGTAGCCTTTATCCCCTAAAGAGGGTGCCTGCAAATGAGTCCACTTTGGGCCTAGAATAAGAAAGTTGTCAGTTGAGTCTGTTTTTCTGACTAGAGTACCAACATGCCACATATCTTCCTACAGCACCTGAGGAGGGACCTTTCACATTCCCTAATGGGGAGGCTGTGGAACACAGTGAGGAAAGTAAAGATCGGACCATCATGCTCATGGGAGTGTCCTCACAGAAGATTTCTGTTCGGCTGAAGAGGACTGTCGCCCACAAGGCCACCCAGACGGAATCCCCGCCCTGGCTTGGCAGTGAGCGTCCCTGTGGTCCCTTTGTGCTCTCTTCCCCAAGGAAGACAGCCCAGGATACTCTGTATGTGCTTCCTAGTCCCACATCTCCTTGCCCCAGCCCAGTCTTGGTCAGAAAGCGGGCTTTTGTCAAGTGGGAGAATAAAGAATCCCTCATAAAATCAAAGGAGGATCTCCGTCATCTCAGACTGCCAACCTACCAAGAGCTGGAACAGGTACCTTCCTTTTCTTTTCTTTCAGACGCCGAGAGAAGTGGGGCTAACCCAGGGAAAAGCGCTGAAGATGCTGACCAGGTTGATTACTCGTAGGATAGAGCCACAAAAGAACAGAAAGGATTCTGGCTTTCTTTCAAACCAGTGGAGGCCCTGGCTCACATTACATGAGTAGAACAAGACCGACAGAGCTCCCTGTATGCCAGAAGGGTACCATTTTAAAGTGTTGGTGCCAGGCCCAAAGTGTGTTCACAACAGCCTCCTTGAGAAAAACCAGTTTCTACTGGTCAGCTCTACTGTGCTGACACCACACCCTTTTTCTAGATGAAATTAAATCCTCCTCCCCTAGAGGTCTTTGTTAACCTACTCATCAGGATGTTTTGGGACTTTTACGGTTGCCTAAGCACCTCCCCAAAAAAGCATGTAAGCCTTCCTCTTAATATAAATGAGCAAGGAAATACATCTTGTACATCTTGTAATACCTTGATCTTGTAAATACATTAGACAGTATCTGGCAGATACACAGCTGTATATAATATATTATATAATGTATAAACTGGTAACTGTTATAGTACCAGGAGCTTCCTTTTTTTGGTTAGGCTTAGGAGGTCCTAATTATAAGATGCCCCACAGAGAAAAGGGCATAGTGCAAGAGGAGGATAAGGAAAAGGACAACAGGCAGTTGTTCAAACAAAAAGAAGATGTTAATTGGCTGACAGGATTGAGTTTTTGGAGTCCAGGGGTCATGTTGAGGGCTGGCTCAGGTTCCTACCAGTGATAGGTAACTAGGGATGCTTAGATCTAACATTATCACTTTATTAAAGGTTTTCTTTTTTCCAAAACATCCAGGTTGGCCATGTGTTTTTGGAGGCCTATCAGTACAAACCCAAAATCAACATCCAGTAGCTAGAATTCCTTAAATAATTCTATGTAGTGAAATTGCCCAAAAGGGCCTCAGAATTCCCTACCTTGTCCTCAGTGTTGTTCCTTCCCTGTCAAAGACTCCTAGAAAATGAAATACAGAAACATTTGAAGAAACAAGTTAGATAACATATGTGAAACTCTTGGTGCTTTGAACAAAGAACGTAATGTTAAGAGGAACAGATGAAAAAATACCAGGTTTTCTAGATGAAAGGTATTCTCTTGCTCAGAATGTTTTAAGACCTGCTTTAACTTACACAAACCCCTTTCTCTTTAGGGGTAGAAACTGCCAAAAGCAGCTTACAAGAACTCTGGTCTTGGGGACAAAGACTTGTGATTAAACTAGCTGTTAAACTGTGCCTTACTTGCTCTTGTGTAAAATACAAGGCCAAGAATCCATGCTCTCTACGACTTGCTGCAGATTGTGAATAATTACTGTTATCGTCTGACACATTACCTAGCACATCGCTAGCTAATTTTTGTTGAGAAACAACTGATTGTATGCAAATCACCCAGAAATTGCCCACATTTGTGGGGAGGGAGTCATCAATCTGATATAACAACACTGGATTCCAAGTCCGAAGACAAGAGACGTCATCATGGCAGCGGGAGTTGTACCTTTTCACTCGCCCCTTTATTTACAACAAACTGGTTATTCATAACCAAACAAAAAGTGACTGCGTTACGTACCCAGGAGACTTTTTTTAAATAGGTGGACAGGACCTCAGGGGGGGCTTTGGATCCAAGGGAACTGGTGACCCTGCGTGCCCGTCTTGCCATGATCAGGTGAGAGCACTACTGGAGAGTGCAAACCAGGGTGGACATGCAAGGAAGATAGAGAAGTGGAGGTCCTGCCAGCCAGGGGGGCGTTTGGAGGCGTCCTCCCTCACAGAGGACAGGGAAAGCACGAGTGGTGACTGACCAACCACCTGGCTGCACAGGCTGCATTTGGAGGGACCCCTTTCTCTCCAACAGTGCTCAGATTTCTAAACAGGGACCTCCAGGACTAGGGGGAAAGAGAGGAAAGAGGCAGACGAGAATAACAACAGGCACTGAAGGAACACATTCCCCGCTGCCTCCCTTGGGGTTTCAGCAGGTTTGCCCACGGACCTCCAGGAGCACCCCCACTGGAGGATCCCCTCTCATGCCACGGGCACCCCTCCAGCACTGTGTACACCAGCTTTTTTAGCACACACTCCCAACTACACCACCAAAGTCAGCTCAGGTAAAAAGAAACCCAAAACTTGAGCTACAGCATGTGGCCACCTTAGGAAAAACAGAAAGGATTTAACTGCCTGTCTGTTGAACTGTAACAAAGAAAAGTGTGTGCTACTTCACATGTGATGGCAGAGGCACGTTTCATCGAATACTCTGAGAAATCACAGTATATTCCAACAACCAAACTCAAAGGCGTGGAATATTGGGATCTTAACTGATCAAGAATTCAGAATAGTTGTTATGAAGAGATTCAACTCAGAAAGCTAATTCAATAAACCAAAGAATAAAACTAATGAACAGAAGGAGTTAATTAGCACAAAGACTGAAATTTTTTTAAAAACACCAGAGATTCCAGAGCTAAAGAATTCAATGAGATACAGAAGGCAGTAGACTAGAAAGCTTAGGAAATCAGATCAAGAGCTAACAACTTAGAGGATAGGAATTTAGAAATGATTCAGAAGAGGCAAGAGAACTAAAAAGTGAAGAAACCCTGCAAAAGCCATCAGATATAATGAGAAAACTATAACAGGGCTACCAGAAGGAAAAGGGAGAGAGAGCATATTTAGAGAAATAATAGCTGAGAATTTCTTCAACATGGAGAAGAAATTGGAGAACACAAGTCCAAGAAGCTAATGGACCACTCAATTAATGTACAAGGACCTTATTCAAGACGTTATAAGCAACTGTCAGAAGTCAGTGATAAAGAATCTTAGAGACTGGAGAAAAAGGAGAAACCTACAAAGGAACCCCCATTAGCTGTCAGGTTTCTCAGCAGACACTCGAAGGCCATGAGAGAGTGGAATGACAAAGTAGTAAAAGATAAAAATTGCCCATCAAGAATACCTTTCAGTCAACTCACCTTTCAGATACAAAGGTAAAATGCTTTCTCAGACAAAATGTGAAGGAACTCACCACCATGAGACCTGCCTTGCAAGAAATGCTGAAAGTAGTTCTCCAAACTGAAATGAAAAGATGCTAATTAGTGACATAAAAGCAAATGAAAGTACATAAAATTCCACCAGTGATGAGAAATAAACAGAAAACTGTGACTATATTAGAATGGTGTATTCAACCTCTTAGAGTATAAAGGCCTCAGGAAAGGAGCATTAAAGATAACTATAGCTACTATAATTTCTCAATGAATTCACAGTAAAAAAAGATAAGTTGTGACATAAATATAAAAAGGAAGAAATAAAAAAGTAGAACCTTTATAGGTAAACAAAGGCAATAAAAAGGACCAAGGGGCACCTGGGTCAGTTGGTTAAGTGTCTGACTTCGGCTCAGGTCACAATCTCGTGGTTCGTGAGTTCAAGTCCCGAGTCAGGCTCTGTGCTAACAGCTCAGAGCCTGAAGCCTGCTTTCAATTCTATGTCTCCCTCTCTGCTTGCATGCTGTCCTCTCTCAAAAATAAACACATACTGGGGTGCCTGGGTGGCTCAGTCGGTTAAGTGTCCGACCTCACCTCAGGTCACGATCTCACGCCTTTTGGGTTCAAGCCCCGCGTTGGACTCTGTGCTCACAGTTCAGAGCCTGGAGCCTGCTTCCAGTTCTGTGTCTCCCTCTCTTTGCCCCTCCCGCACTCACACTCTGTCTCTCAAAGTTAAAAAAATTTTTTAAGATAAAAAGGACCATTTTATTTATCATTTATACATAAGTCACATGGTAACCACAGAGCAAAAAAAGACCACCACAAAACATTAAAAAAAAAAAGACTGCAAATCACCATGGAAAAATCACTTTACAAAGGTAAATAGAGAGGAAGAGAAAAGGGAGATATAAAACAACCAGAAGGCAAATAAGATGGTAGTGGTAAGTCCTTACCTAAGAATAATCACTCTAAAATATAAATAGATTGGTTTCACCAATCAGAAGTCACAGAGTGGCTTGATGGTTAAAAAATAAGACCCAATTCTATGCTGCCTAAGGAAACTCATTTCAGCTCCAAACAGCTGAAAGTAAAGTAATGGAAGAGGATATTCCATGCAAACAGAAACCAAAACAAAGCGGGAATAGCCACACTTTTATCAAAGAAAATAGACTTCAAGTCAAAAATCATAACAAAGGTCGTCATATAATGATAAAAGGATATGATACATCAACAAGATAACACAACAGTAATATGTACACACCCAATATTGGAACGCTAAAATACTAACAGATCTAAAGGGAGAAGTAGACAAAAATAGTGATAACATGGAGTTTCAATACCCCAATGTCAATGATAAGCAGGTCATCCAGACAGAAAATTAACAAGGAAACGTTGGAATTGAACCAAATTCTTAAACAAATGGACTTAACATACAGAACATCTAACAGCAGAATACAGATTCTTCTCAAGTGCACAAAGAACATTTTCTAGGACAGAGTATTATGATAGGCACAAAACAAATCTCAGCAAATTTAAGGAGACTGAAATCAGACCATTTTTTTCTGACCACATGGTCTGAAACTAGAAATCAACCAGAGGAAAGCTGGAAAATCTGTAAATATTTAGAAACCAGACAACACATTTCTGAACAAATGAGTCAAGAAACCGAAAGGAAGTTTAAAAATTATGGAATGCAGCAAAAGCAACTCTGAGAGCTTTTACAGTTAAATGCATATATGAAGAAATTATTTCTCAAATACACAACCTAAAAGAATTAGAAAAAGAACAAACTAAATAAGCCCAAAATTAGCAGGAAGAAGAGTCCAGAAAAATAGAAAGGATCAACTAAACTAAAACCTGGTTCTTGAAAAAGATAAAATTGACAAATCCTTAGCCAAACTAAGGAGAAAAAAGAAGTCTCAAAATTAGAAATGCAAAAAGAGGAGCACCTGGGTGGCTCAGTCGGTTAAGCGTCCGACTCTTGATATCAGCTCAGGTTTTGAGATCGAGCCCAGTGTTGGGGCTCTCTTAAGATTCTCTCTCTCTCTCCCTACCTGTGTGCTCTCTCTCTCAAAACAAACATACATACATACATTTTAAAAAATGTGAAAGGAGACATTGCAACTGTTACTACACAAATCGGACCATAAGAGACCATTATGAAAATTATAAGCCAACAAATTAGATAACCTAGAAATAAATTTCTAGAAACACACAACCTACCAAGACTGAATCAGGAAGAAATAAAGATCTAAACAGACCAATAAAGGGCAAAGAAATTATATCAGTAATCAAAACCTAGCCAACAGAGAAAGCCCCAAGATCAGACAGCTTCACTGGCAAATTCTACCAAATGTTCATCTCACAATCTTCCCAAAAAATGAGGAAGAAATGCTTCCAAACGTATTCTAAGAGAACAGCATTACCCGATACCAGAGCCAGATTAGGACACCACAAGAAAACTATAGACCAGTATTGCTGATAAATACAGATGTAAACATCCTCAACAAAATATTATCAAACTAAATCCAAGAACATACAAAAAGGATTATACACCATGACCAAACTAGGATTTATCCACTGAATGCAAGTAGATAACATAGGCAAATCAATAAATGTAATGTATCACATTAGCAAAATGAAAGATAAAAATCACATGATCATCTCAGTAGAGGCAGAAAAGGCATTTGACAAAATACAGCAAACATCCTTTCATCATAAAACAAAACAAAACACCAAACTGGGTATAGAAGGAACATACCTCAACATAAGGGCCCAAAACGATAAACCCACAGCTAACATTACACTGAATGGGGAAAAAAGTTAAAGCTTTTCCAGTAAGATCAGAAACAAGACACAAGGATGCCTACTCTCACCACTCTTATTCAACATATCACTGGAAATCTTAGAGCAGCTAGGCAAGACAAAAAAAATAGCATCCAAATCAGGGAAGAAGTAAAATTGTCAATATTTGCACATGAGTCTGTATATATAAAATCGCCAAAATAACCAAACTACTGTTTGAACTAATCAACAATTTTGGTATAGCTGCAGGCTACAAAGTCAACATAAAGAAATCAGCTGCATTTCTACACACTAAGGATGAAACATCTGAAAAAGAAAACTGTCCTATTCACAGTAACACCAGAAGCAATGAAATATTTAGGAATAAATTTAACCAAGGAAGTGAAAATTCTGTACAATGAAAACAAGACTCTGCTGAAAGAAACTGAAGACACAAACAAATGGAAAGATATCCCATGTTCATGATCCGAAGAATTGTTAAAATGTCTACACTACACAAAGCCATCTACAGATTCAATGAAATCCCTATTAAAATACTAATGGCATTCTTCACAGAAATGGAAAAAAAAATCCTAAAATTTGTATGGAACCGCAAAAGAATAAAGGCAGAGGTATCATACTTCCTGATTTCAAACTATACTCAATGCTAAAGCAATAAAATCAGTATGGTACTGACACAAAAGCAGACACATAGACCAGTGGAACAGAGAGCCCAGAATTAAACCTTGCTTATACAGTGAGCTAATATTTGATAAGGGCGCCAAGAGCACCCAAGGTGGAAAAGGATAATCTCTTCAACAAATAGCGTTGGGAAAACTGGACAAGTACATGCAAGAGCAATGAAATTAGACCCCTATCTTAACACCACTCACAAAAATTAACTCAAAATGTATAAAAGACTTAAACATAAGACCTGATAACTATAAAACTCCTAAAAGAAAACATATGGAAGAAGCTCCTCAACACTGGTCTTGGCAATGACTTTTTTTTGATGTAACACCAAAAGCAAATCAACAAATGAGACTACATCAAACTTAAAAGGTCTTGCAAAGCCAATGAATTAACCAAATAAAAAGGCAACATACAGAATAGGAGAAAATTTTCGCAAACCATAAACTGGATAAAGGGCTGCTATCCAAATTATATAAAGGATGCCTCCAACTCAGTAACAACAACACAGTCTGATTAAAAAATGAGAAGAACTAGGGGCACCTGGGTGGTTCAGTTGGTTAAGCGTCTGACTTCAGCTCAGGTCATGATCTCACGGTTTGTGGGTGCAAGCCCCCCGTCAGACTCTGTGCTGACAGCTAGAGCCTGCTTTGGATTCTGTCTCTCTCTCTGCTCCTCTCTTGTTCACTCTCTCTCTCTCTCAAAAATAAACATTAAAAAAAATATTTTTTTTTAATGAGAAGAACTAAAGACACACTCTTCTACAGAATACATACAAATGGCCAACAGGTGCATAAAAAGATGCTCACTATCACTCATCATCAAGGAAATGCAAAATCAAAACACATTGAGATACCAACTAACACCTGTTAGAATGTCTAGCATCTGGAAAACTAGAGAGCAAGTGCTTGCAAGGATGTGCTGAAAAGGGAGGAACCCTCATGCACTGCTGGTGAGAATGTAAATTACTACAGTCGCTATGGAACACAGTGTGAAGGTTCCTCAAATATTAAAAACAGAACCATCATATGATCCAGCAACTCTGCTTCTGGGTATTTATCTGAAGAACACAGAAACACTAACTCAAAAAGATATCTGCACCCCACGTCCACTGCAGCATTATTTAACAATAACCAAGATATGGAAACAACCTAAGTGTCCATACCTCATCAATGAAGGGACAACACACACACACACACACACAGAGTATTAGCCGTAAGAAAGGAATGTGCAACATGGACATTGAGCACATTATACTAAGTGAGGTAAGTCAGAGCAAGACAAGTTCTGTATGACATCACTTGTATATAGAATTCTAAAAAGCCGAACTTATAAAAACAGAAAAAAATGGTGGTTATCAGGGGAAAAAGGGTGGAGAGTACAGATGTTGTTTAAGGGTACAAACTTACGAGTGGTAAATAAGCCCAAAAGATGTAATGCGTAGTATAATGAATGTAGACAATACTGTACTATAATGAAGCCTGCTGACACCAGATCTTAAATTTTTCCAATTATTAAAAAAGGAAAACTACTAACATGAAAGGTGCTGATTATTGCTACAATGGCAGTGTTAAAATTTAACTATCAAATTTACATGTTGTACATCTTAAATTTATACAATGTCATATGTCAAATATATTTCAATTAAAAAAAAAAAGTGGAAATTAACTACCACAGAGAATTAGATACCTAAAGTCCCATTTAGGGGGTAGGATAAATTCTTTATCAAAAGAGTCCATTAGTTTTCTATGATTTGGGGGGGAAATTAGAAAACCATCATATGACATAGTTCATTTCATTTAAATCACTGTTTTCATACCTCAGACTTGACCACAGACTCTCCGTTTCTGCCAAGTTTAGGTTTCTCACTATATAACATCCAAAGGTTTTATTATCCACCTATCATCTGGGAATGATGTATTCTGCTTGCTACCCATTCATATCTTTGATATGATAACAAAAACTAATTGCTGTTTGCACATGCTCATTTGGTATTTAACTTGTTATGTTCTATTCAGAGCAAAATAACTGCCTCGAAAATAGTTTTTAATTCTCAGCCACAGTGAATAGAAAATGCCAATCAAGTGTAGTACTCCCAATATTGGAACTGATTTGCTATTCATTGCTGCTTTATTAACATACATCTCCTTTCCCTTTAGGAAATAAATACCCTGAAAGCAGATAATGACGCTCTAAAGATCCAACTGAAATATGCACAGAAGAAAATAGAAACTCTCCAACTTGCAAGAAGCAATCACGTCTTAGCTCAGATGGAGCAGGGTGACTGTTCTTAGCCAAGAATCTCAAGGAGCACAATGTGTAGATGAGTATATCAGAGATCTCACTTAACTAAAATAAATAACAAACACCTGGTGTACCTTAGATCAACCAGCTCTTTTAAAAGGTCACTTTAAAAGAGAAAAGCAAGTTACTTTTTTTTTTCTTCCTTTAACCTAGTAAGTGGAACTGTCTTCCCTTCCAGTCACTTGAATCAAAGGGGAGGAAAGCTGAAGAATGCAAAATTTTTGCCATTCACACCACAAACATCTGCCACCCCCAACCCCGGGACTAATACCTACAGCTTGATAAAAACATGGCTGTAGTTTTCTGACAAGGTAGCTTCTCCTATGTGGCCTGCCTAGCAACTTCCTCCTTAGAACTAAAATCCCTGGAAAATGAATTTGCTTCCTTCTGTGGGTTTTCTGGGAGCTGAGGGATTTACCCTGTTCCATCCAAAGCTTGCTTACAGTGGAAAAATACATTCCACAAACAGCTTTACTTCCTCTATATTCCAGCATTCTTTTCGAATCTGGTTCCCACTTCACTACCTCAGATCTGATCAACTAGCCTTCTCCCACTCCTTCCTCACTAGGCTCATACTCACGTGAGAATACCTACCTACGAGTAAACATCTAGAGATGGAGCCACAGATCGGGGGGAACATTATCCAATTACAGGTCAACTCATAGTTTTAGTCACACAGTCATAAGTAGCCAAACTAAACACCTAGAAACATGGCAAATACCACTTCAGACATGACTAGCCAGGTAGCTAAAATAAACATACTACAAACATGATGTCTGTCCTCACAGATGTACATTGGATAGAATTAGGAACTTCAGGCTTTTTGAAGAAGAGTCTGTTAAACTTTTCATGTGCCATCTTTTTTTTTTTTTTTTTGGAAGTTAACTATTTTGAACTGAATTTGTGCTTATACGGTCTTAATACTATTTAGAAATAAGCTAATTGGATCAGAGGCTTCAATAACAGCCCAGAGTGTATATGTGTATATTATGTATATACAATATCAAGCATGCATGTGGCTTGGAATTTTGTCTCCTCCTTCATAAAATGTGGAATTAAACAACTTTTAGTCATTTACACAAATCCACAAATTTAAAGTTGTTTGTTACAAGATAAAGAAATAGCTCACCACATAAAGTGTATTGTTGAGCAAAATCACAAGAATCCGATGAGCTTTCTAGTAATGAAGGTTAATGATAAATGGGCTTGTTTAGTTGGGCAACTATAAACTCCTTTATCAGATTCTTGATTTCTCTAAAAAGTTCAAATTATCATTCTTTTTGAGGGGAACTTACCTTCCATGTTGGAAAGCTTGGTACCAAGCAGACTTGAAATTCATACAAGTTGACCAACAGCCAAGAACTTAATCTCAACAATTTAAAGTTCCAAACCTAAAGCCAACAACACCAAATCTTAATCAGAATACGAAGAACATATACAGTATAGCTTCCTTGGAGGATTCAGACTATTTAAGAAGTTTCCTTGATGAAAGACCAGTTCCCATTTGCATACCTCCTTGCTCTGAGCATTAGTGACAAAACTAGTGAGTAGCTTTCAGTTAGTGTTTCAAAGAATTACTTTACACACAAATTTACCCTTTCCTAAATCCAAACTCAGAAATCCCCCCAGAAGGCTGCTTAAGTCCATCACCTGGTATCTAACTTAAGAAGCACTTTGCTACTTACCTTATATGGAACAAATTTATGATAATCTTTAAAATTCATACTCTTCACTGTTCTTTTCCTCTGATAAAGACCAAAGGTGGTACAGCTCAATTTCTTTATATAGTTATCTAACACAAATTTTTTTTCATTCTCCTTATCCTCCAAAATACAGACCCTAGGTTAGTTTCTGTGTAATCTGTAATCCTAGAACTCCAAAGGTCAGAACTCCGTTAATCAGTCAAATGTATATGGCTAGAGGTCTCAAACATTCCAGAATTTCTCACTGAAATGGGTAAGAAGCAGTTTTATCACAAGTTTTTGCAGTCCAGCAAGGGCCAAAGAAGAACAGCATGTAAATTAGTATTATTTGCACTGAGTTACATGGGATTAGTGGAATATAGAAATAATCTGGAAAAAATTTTGGTCAAGCCTAGGATACAAATTTTTGTCTTGTACGGACTTGAAATAAGTTTGAGCATATATTTATCTGTCAAAATAAGGACAAATCTTGTTCTGTCAACAACAACATTACTTTTCATTTTCTTTGGTAATTGACTTGCCTTTTTACTGACCACTTGTGAATTTCTGTCTAAGGATGTACAATGTAAAAGAACTGCAAGGAAAAAACAAGTGTACAGATTGTAAAGGTTTTTTTTTTTAATATCTAATGTAAGTTTTCTTTATGTAATATTTATATGATAAAAGATATTAGGATCTCTACCACATAGCTGTCTTGTGTTTCTTCTAGTTCATGAATATATGGAAGCTTCTCTTGAATTTTTACTATAATCCACAGCTGACACCACTCGCTTATTAACCAAACTGAGTTTTCCTGGAAGGAAAAGCAAAGCAACTAATTATTCAGTAGAAGTCTTATCTAAATCGTTTCAGAACATGCAGAAGTAACAGTTCAAAAATATTCGACCTTTTCCCATCTTACTGCATCAGGACTCACAGTGGTCCCAAAATATTGCCTATGAAAATTTCACAATGAAGGAGACAAATTTGAGCTTGCCATTTCTGTGTGGCTTTTGTCTTTAATCCCACAGTTCTAAGAAAACCAGCAAGTAAAGGAGAACTTTGAAGTTGTGTGTGAAACTGGTAGAGAGGGTGGTTCAGTCCAGGGTAGACCACCCACAGCAACTCGTTTGTGTTCATGATTACTTAGAGTGATTAAGAGATAGCCGTAGCTTTCCCTTAATCCTCAGCCAACTTTTGTTTAACCAGACCAATAAAGAGTGGGGGTAAATTCCAATCACTCAAATTCTGAGGAATGCATTCTGGTACATTTGGATGTGGGTGTATCTATCATTTTGCCAATTCGTAACACTTCAAGTCACATTGACAACCTGACTCTGAAGAAGAGATTAAACTGCCTCCTCTCTTTCCTCTCTTCCATCCCCAGTTCCCATCCCAAATTTCTCCACCCTGTGCTCCTTATAAGGAGTTCTCATTGCTCAGAACATTCTCTGGTCACAAATCTTTTTTGGGTCACCTACCTTCTTTTGACACAAAGGTAATTAAGTGTACTTGGTTTAAAATGTGTTTTTCTGCTTAGAGAGGCAAGGTTTCCCTGATCTACAGAACATAAGGGAATAGGTTCAAAAAAAATACCTGATCCCTTCTTTCGCTGAGAGCTCACGTCTACAATGGATGGGAACACAAATTCTTTATATAGTCCAGATAAGAGATTATTTTTTTTTAATATTTATTTTTTAGAGAGAGAAAGAGACAGAGTGTGAGCAGGGGAGGGGCAGAGAGGGAGGGAGACACAGAATCCGAATCAGGCTCCAGCCTTTGAGCGGTGAGCACAGAGCCCGACACAGGGCTCAAACCCACAAACCATGAGATCATGATCTGAGCAGAAGTTGGATGCTTAACTGACTGAGCTACCCAGGTGTTTCCCCACCCCACCCCCCACCTTTTCTTTAATGTTTAAGAGATTAGTTACTTCTTTAATGCAGAGTCTCTCAGTAAGGTCTTATCTACATGGGCTATTTGATACCAAAGGCTAGACTAAGGTAGGGGGTGGGAGGGGAGGATAAATGAGATAATAGGAAAAATGAAATTAGAAGAGTAGGCACATCAAAAGGTATTAGATTGCAGAAAGCAGTCATGTACCATTCATCATACTCTATGCATTGCCCTCAATTTATAAAACATTTTTACATTATGGCTCTTCACATCAAAGCCCCAAATTGCCTATTGCTGGCCTAGATACTGCACAGGACACTCTTCTACAAATGAAAGTTTTACTGAAAAAAGGTATCATGAAAATCCTACCTTCCAGGGGAGAGCAAGATATTAGGGTCTAGATCACCCTGGTTTTCACTCAAGTGACATTTATAGGAATGTATAAACACCAGTGGTCCCAGCTCCAATACAATTCCAGGAGCAAGTGATAAACTTGAGTAACACAGTGAGTACAGTGGATAACCCAACAGCACCCCTATGAAAGTACACAGAGGTGTTACAGAAATGGATAAATTAATGTTTCTGCAATTATTTGCCATAAACCTCTAGCGATAAAAGAAGTTAAAGTAGTTGAAAACCCGTTCTGTATCAGCAACTATAGTCCAGTAGTCTTTGATTATATATTTTTAAAAATTATTTATTTTTCAGAGTTCATAGCTATTGAAAAAAGTTTTTTCTTAATTATGGAAAGCCTTTTTTTTCCAACTATCACAAATGAAATTAAGTATATTCATTAAATATAAACACATTTTAAAAATCTATTTTACAAATAACCTAAAGTTTATGTTTTCCTATCCTGAACAAATTTCTTTGAAGAGTTAGCTTGAAAAATACATGGCAAAGACTGCAGTATATTTACCCTTAAAGTTTTAACATTATTTTAGATTTCACTACAGGGTTTACTGGAAGCAAAACAACAACGAAACTGCCAAATGCCAAATACCATGTGTCCACTGGTACTCCACTTTCTATCTGTTGAGTTTGTTAGATCAGAGGAAGTTGTTATGCACAGGTGTTAACCAGGCGCCCACACCAGGACATTTTATAGTGGGCATGAAAAAACGTGTGTGACTATCTTATCTAGCTCTCTTTACTAAAAGAATAATGCAGTACTGAGCCCACTTCTTAAACCATTTACAACAGCCCTCAACAAATCGCACTATACTTAGGTCTTTATGAAACAGTTTGAGAAGAGATCAAGTGTCACAATCCCCATCTGACAGATGAGGACAAATCAGTCCTTGAGAGCTGTGGTCGGTTCACCTCACAGCGCCCCTGGGCTAGTGCCATGATTCAAATTCACAACTCCTCATCTCCAAACCTTTACCTGTTCCAACCACCAGACCACATGTAACCATTCACTAAGCCGGTTTCCCAAATCTAGCTGTGAATCAGAATTTCTAAGGGATGCCTTGAATCCTGCCTCTGATGCACTGAAACAGGAAATAATGCCCTAATCCTGAGCAGTGCAGCTCAGCCTGCCTTTTAATATTCAAACGCCTAAAGCGATGGCATAAGTGATGAAGAGACCAATTTATACGAGTGTTTTCTACATCGTAATGTAAAATTACTTGTCTTAATCCCTTCAGAATAAATTCTGACTTCAGTCTTTAACTTTGCTTTGTCAAAGAAAATCACAGGTTTCAAATCCACTTGGAAAATAAATCAAATATGCATTGCAAAAAGTAGATGTGAGCTTCAATTAATGGAACTTTAACAGAAGCCTGGCGAGAAACTGTTTCCTAAACAAGAGCAAACAGGTCATGACAACTACCTATTGAACACAACAATCAGATAAGTCCCTTTCCCTATTTCATAAAGAGTAATTAACAAATACAAACACAACCACAGGAATACAGATGAGGCAATAGTCTATATTCCTTTCCATTACAAGTGGGGTAATTTATGTGTTTCAAACCTGAATAAAATACGGGTAACAATCTAAATTCAATCATGACAATAAAATACTTTCCATTTTCCAAGTTTGATGGTAATAAATATTTACATTTTTAAAAATAATTTTTGTTCATTTTTTTTAAAAAGACATGCTCAAGGGTACACAGAATATGGAAAAATCATCACTTTGTCTAAGAGATCAAATGGTAGTATAAAAACAATGCTCTTACATATTAACCCAATTTAAGAATGATAACAAGGAAGCTAACATGGTGTTTACTTGAAAGCTGACATTAAGTATGTTACTTAGAACACTACACCTAATGTCCCTACCAAGAAGTAAGCACTGCTATCTAATTTTGGTGGTTTTCAATACCTTCTATATCCACCACCACCTCCCCCATACGGATCTCCATAACCTCGTCCCCCATAGCCCCCTCCTCTTCCACCATAGCCTCCTCCTCTTCCACCATAATCTCCCCTCCCGCCATAATCTCCCCTGCCTTGGAAACCTCCTCCTCTACCGCCCCCTCCCCCACTTCCACCCCACCCTCCTCCACCACCTCCTCCTCCCCCACCACCTCCCCAACCTCCTCCACCTCCCCAGCCACCTCTTCCACCCCCACCACCTCCTCGACCACCCCCACCACCCCCACCACCCCAACCACCCCTTCCGCCGCCTTCTTGTCTCTTTTGCCAAGGGGGCATTTCCGGGGGCGGCGGTTCAATTTCATTTGGCCTTCCTCCTCTGTCAGGCACCCTTCCCATCAGCACCTGTGTGAAGAAACATGGTCTTTCAGTTTCTAATATTTTTGAAGTTACAATTTAGATAAAGGATTTAAGTGGTACTGAACTTACTCTTCTCATAAAGAAACAGAAGCCAAACATTTAAGGACGTGGAAGTATCAGACATGCAGTACAGATTAATATTGAAAATATAAATGTGATATGTGAAAAATTCCTTACAACATGGTATTATTTTTAAATAATCTGGGGAATATTTCAGAAACTTAAGAGCTTTGTTAATTTCTCCTTATTTAAATTTGCTTACCAAAAAAAAAAAAATTTTTTTT